CGATCTGACAGAAGCCTGGAAGTGAGTGCGCGAGGTGGTTATAAAAGGCTCCTACCCCCCAGAAACGAGGTATGCTAACTTTTGCGCTATCTGGTGTATCTTGCCTTTGAGAAACTCTAACTTGAGCTTCGGAGCCCTTATGCCGGATTCTCCCCGGAGCTTCTCTTTTCCCTCCGTTTCAGGTCCCTGACCACCCGATTCAAAGGCAAGATCGTTGACAGCTAAGATCGACTGAATCGTGCACCATCAAGAAGTATCCAAATCATTAATCTTTTTTTGATGGGAGGCCTGGCCCGTATCAACACACTCGATTTTGATTTGTCACAGAGAGAAAAGAAAGTGAGCAGTAAGATTTGTCCCCACCAGTTAATTAACACATGTCATCTACACAAATTATGTTCAGTTGTCAAACCCATTTTCTGCGAAACAAATTGGATTACATTAATTAATTAGTTAATGGCCCACTGTACTAATGGTGGTCATAAGATAATTGGATAGCTCAAAAGCTGAAACCTTTTGGTTAGTTCCACATTCATATATATATTTTAATAAAAGAACAAGTGGCCAATGCTGTGGCCTTAAGGCTTTGACATGGCCAACCAAAAGAGCTTTAAAGAACCATCAAAATGACCAAATTAACCCACCAAGCCGACCACGGCATACGGGCTATAACTTATGGTGGTGTTTGGTATTAATGTCGTTTTCTGATAAAATAGCGTCATGTAGGTGTCACTTCAGAAAAAGTAGTGTTTTAGAAAATGACCTCTTATTTGGTACCAATTTTTTTAAAAAAATGTTACTCTTGCCCATGTCTTGAAAATCAGGAAAGTGTGTTATGAAGAAATATCAAATTCAATGTTTTCTCAGAAAACAGCCCGTTGCTACGAGCAATGCAATGATGTGGCACCATCTTAGGTATTGRATAATATAGATCAATGCTGAAAATAGTTCTACAGCACTGTACAAAACAAAATCAATGCTGTTTTCCCAAAAAACAGCCTATGTGGTAGCACTGTTTCCAAACAAAAAAATAAGCACGGGTGTTCCCAGCACCAATGCCAAATACCTTCTACAGCAGCTAGCCATGACTACCTCCATGGTCCATGCAGAAAAAGAGAAAGGGTTTTTACTGTTCAGTCCACTCCCAACAAATCTTGGCTCCACCGTACAATTGGGGTAGGTGCCAGCTCGAAATTGATGCCAATACACGGCGGGTATTAGTGTTATAGGTGGAGGTATTTAAAATTTTGAATTGTTGTAGATATGCACTGAAATAAAAGTGGAACGGATCAACAGCCCTCATTATATGATTATGGTTCATGGTAAACCATTTATAACTAATATTTTAGTGTCACCAACTCCAATATGAGAACACAGTTTCCCTACTCCCATTCCTCTACCCCACTTTCAAAAGTAAACTGAAACAAACGCACGCCTGTATCAGGAGGCCCCGTCGGTGATTCAAATCCCTGTCTCTCTCTGATAACAATTTAATAATAATTTATGTTCTTATGTGATATTTTAAAACATCAAAAGATGCTTTTGAGTTTCGGCTGGTCTTATGTTCTTATCCCCCTGCCCTTAAAAGATAAAACCCTATTATGATTTGATTTCCTCCAACCCAAAGCTTTTTTTTCACAAACAATCCTTTTGGGTAAATTTTCGCTATTGACCTTTTAGACTGTGAGAAAGCAAAATTGAGCCAAAAAAAAAAGCTTTGAACGTTTGGTAAGACACTATGATTAATAATCTAAAGCCAAAAATTCTTAAGCTCAGGAGTACTACAATAACCCTCAAATGGATGGACGGAATGGTGATCCACATGCCCATTGGCAATTAGACCCATGTGGTTTGAACCAGAACAGAGGTAAAACCAATGGACTCTCATTGGGTCAGTATTTTACCAGTTTAAATCGGCAGTTCAGTGACTCGGCCCATAGGATAGGACCATCCAAAAAAAATGGCTCGGAAAGCTCATTGGTTCGACCATCCTGTTCAATTCAAAATCTGACCACTAGGGCTGTTCATAAGAATGCCCAATCCAACCAAACCGACCAACCCGGACCAACCCAACCCGAGTCGGCTGGGTTTTCATCAGTACCGGTTGGTTTCGGGTTGAGCAAAAATATAAACTGATATATCGGGTCGGTTTCAATTTTCTTGTGTGAAAACCAAAACCAACCCGACCCGAAGTTTCTAGTTTGAGTAATTTCCTACTTAAGTATAACTAGTCTTCTACTAGAACTAGAAGGCCCATTAGGCAATTACAATTAAAATAGGCAATATATCCTAATTTCTAACTTTCTATTATCTTTTACACCAAATAGGCAACCCATTAGGCAATTACAATTAGAATTCAATTAGGTTTGTACAGGAGCAAAACTGAAACCGACTCAAACCGACCARGTCGGTTTGRCCTATCARTGGGTCRGTTTCGGTTTCCACCTCAGGTAACCCGACCAGGTCGGGTCGGTTGGGAAAACCCCAATAAACCGACCCAACCCGACCCGTGAACACCCCTACTGACCACAACACTGCCAAAGGTCATATAACAGAGGTACTGCCAGTGCCATCTCCATCTCCGTGTCTCATGATAACGCATCACATACACACAACGATTTCCCATGCAGGGAGCAATGCTATTCATACGGGTTGGTCTGTCAAGCCGGTTTTTGCAATGTGGGCCTCCAATCGTGTTAGGCCCAATAAATGAAGCCAAAAACTGACAATTTTGTGGGCCCACATGATGGATCATGTCTCTCTCACTGTGACTAAGGCATCCAGCATAACCTTACACGTCTGCTGGACCTTCCAAAGGCCCGAAAAATATTTAAATGGGGGGCAGTAACAAGTAATACTACTACCATTACTATTACTACTGTGACAACAAGCGATCAAGGTACGCGGGAATACCAAAATACTAAACCAATTAATCAGAGACAATGAGGGAGAATGAAACATGTGCGATTATGGATCCATCGTCCCGATCAATTAGCTCTTTGCTTTTTCGTCTTTTTCTTGCTCAGAACGAAGTCGTCGTCACTCGATTCATTCTCGGAGCTGATATCTCCACTCTTCCGCTTCTTTGACACACTTTTGGGTTCAGGTGTCTTCTTTTTTGCTGAGGAAGCCGGCGGGGGTGCTTTTTTCTTGACAGTGACGGACTTCGTGGTTTTCTTTACTAATGCAACAGTTTTCACTGGCGAGCCAAGCTTCTGAAGCTGGTTTCTCTTGAGTTTCTTCTCATAAACCTTCTTTGCCACCTCCAGAGGCAGCAAGCCAGACTCCATCATCCTGTAAAGCAATTCGAGCTAAATGAAAGATTCTCACAACAATGATATACACAGAATCCAGGTATGATCTAACATACTGTATTTCTATACAACTCAAGTAGTACGTGTCTTATGTCTAGATCTTAGGATCTGTTCGGTTCACAATTGGAATCGGAATCAAAATCCCTTGGATTTGGAATCGGAATGAAGATCAACAGATTTGCTGAGGCCCACAAAGATTATTAGAATTCACCAATAATAGTTTGTTGTCATAAAAACCAAAGAAGACTGGGATCGTTTTCCAATTAAAAAATATGGAAGCTAAGCACAATGACAAAACTCAAAAGTAACTAGGCCCTACCTTTATAAAGCAACCATGATATGATCATTGATCTAAATGGATTACTAGAGAATCTAAATGGTGTAACTAAGGTATAACTGGGAGTATCCTTTTTCATCACTAGTATCTACCCTATGGTTTGCTATATTAATAATGTGAAAGAAGAAAACGTAGAGATCTGTTGGTCTGATAATACCACTTGCCAATGTAGAGCTGATATTACATAAAACCCCCGATTATAATTTGCCTTCCTAAAATAACCGCATTCCTCATTCACCTTACAAATCGAATACAAGAGGCAAGTTCTATATTAAAAAATAAGACTTTGAATCAATGTTTTCAACCCACCATTGGCCCAGCTAGTTGTTGCCCTCCCTGGGTAAAGACTTTTGAATCCTAAAATACCTCATTCATTCATCCTAATAAAATGTCTTCTTAAAAAGCAATTAAAACTATAAAATCATTATTTTTTGTGTGAGAACTAAGAATTTAAGACCTAACGTGGACTTCTTTGGGCTTGCCTCGAGGGGCATGATACAAAAGTGGCTCGTAGAATCAGGAATGTAATATGTTTTACATCACATTAGCTACTTGAAGTAATGCAATTGAGAGAAAAAGAGATTGTGGGTTTTAGATGCTTGAAAATGTTTTATATATTTGATTTTATTTTTAAATTCTCATTTGAGTATGCTTTACATGTTATATTTATGTATTTTAATATTAGATAATAGGTTTTTTAAAATATTTATTTTAAAATTAAAGTTTATATTTTTATTAATATTATGTTTAATAATTTTTTGATTTTTTTATTATTTTTTAGCCTTTTTTATTTTTGTTCCTTGCTTAAAAAAGGTGTGCACCTCGCCTTGCACCTCAGGTGCAAATTGACCCCTGCGCCTTGTGCTTTTAAAACACTGGGTAGAAGGCATCCCTCTCATGCTGATAAAATAAAATAAAATAAATAAAAAATAAAGCAAGAGTATTGGTCTTACCAATACGCACCCATAGTTGTCAAGGTGGTGCCTAGGTGACAAGGCGCCCTTAGAGTCTCGCCTCGCCCAATCACCAAGCAGTTTTGTATATCGAGTTACAAAATACTTTCATATTCTTAATTTTTTGAGATTATAATTATAAAATAGACATTATTAAACTAGAATATTTAATTAACACAGACATTGCTAACTGCTGCATTCAAAACCTGAACAATAAGTAAAAAAGAACTTAAAATTTTGTCAAATAAGGGTTCAGCCCTACATTTTTTCTATTTTCTTTTCTTCTTTGTCTTCTCATGAAAATGTTGATTTTCTATACTTTAACATGAAGTTTATGATTTTCTTATGAAAATTATGGATAATTATTAAGAAAATATGGTTATAGAATCTAGGGAACTACCCTAGGGTATATGTTTTTCTACTTAAAAAATCCATCACCTAGGCGACTTGGCAACAAGGCAACCCCCCGTCACCTAGCCTCACCTTGGCACCTTGAAAACTATGTACACACCAATACCCAATTGTTGCCTTGGTATCAGGCATATCAATATTTTGATCCTTGCCAATATTACAGAACACATAAATGTAAAGCAAGCAAAACAAAAAATATAAAGAAAGTTAAACAAACTAGTTGAAATTTTGTGGTAGTTAGTCAAAAGTGTCACCCAAGCAGCCTAGCAGCCCATAAGCATATTAACATTAAATAAAAATTACCACTGATGACTGAACATAATTTTAAATTATAGTCAACAAATATAATAACAAATGGCAGGCCATCAATCTTATTTAGAATATCATTTAGCATAGTTTTTACTAACATTAGGAGGAATGCTAGTAAACAAAATCTTATGCAACTCCCTGCATTCTTCACTGTAGAGGCATGGTGGACCCATGAAGAGACATTTAAAGCAGGATATGTCACAGGCCCCACCTTGTCTGCTGGGAAAAAACCAAGGACTTACATCCTGGCATTGTTTGTTACCATTCACCAAATATTGTTTAACACAACTGAGATGATCATTCTCACAAGTTAATGTTTCCAAAATGGTTGAAGTCTGGCTAAGAAGGGAGAGCACTAAAGCATTGAAAAACAGAGATGAAAATAAACCATCTTTAGGGTCCGTTTGGTTCACAGTCGGTATCGGAATCAGAATGGTCTATACCTCCTACCTGTTTGGTTCAGATGGGAATCGGAATCAGCTGGAATGGATTCTCGTTCCCAAGGGAGGGGGAGGGAATTGACCATTCCCTCAAATGGGGGAATGCCATTCCACCAGGAATGGGAATTGGATTCTGAACCCACCCAACCAAACGATTGGAATCAAAATGGACCACATTCCGATTTCAATTCCAAACCACAAACCAAAAAGACCCTTATTTTTCTAAAAAAGAGAAAAGAAAAGGTTCATCCAGTAGTTTTTACCACCCATCTGCAATAGTCTAGTAGTTCCATATCTTTGTTTTTGTGAAGTTTAACGAGTATATTTATCTGTTCACCCAGGCACATCTGGTCATTGCTGAGACAATTGCTCATTTGGCATCACAAAAGTCCTAAAGATTACCTATAGAACTTGACTATACTGATAGATGGACTTTGAAGATAAAGAATCATGCCTTGAGATCAACTCCTGTTGTATCTAAATTCCGAAGGGTCTAAAAGCATCCCATTTCATATCATAGTGGCTTCGCCTTTTAAAATATTTGCAAATCATATTATATGACTTTTTTTTATCCAAAAGAATGGACAAAAAAGACCTAGTTTCCTAGAAAACTATCCTCAAGAAACACATTCCTTAATAAACAAGGTGATAGATCTACTCATTCATCAGCACTTCCAATTGCAGAGTATCTTCCATGCACTATTCAGCAGTCACAATGATTAACCCAAGCTCTAATACTAAATTGGATTTGGAACCTAAAAAATAATATTCAGGTTGATGAAAATGTGGATTGTCGTGTCAGCTCTCTTCATACCGGGTATTTGGGTTTGTTTCTTGCAGCGAAGTTCACCTCCAAATCCATATAGGAACCAGTCATAGAACATTTTGAAGGAAGGATACCGTCTTTGGAAAACAAAGTATCTTTTTAATGAGGCAAGGTGATATTGATCAAGAGCATATTGCAACACCCATTTCCTCACTTTACTCATTTATCAAAAAAAAAAAACCATTTCCTCACTTTATTCCCAATCCTGGTATGTGTCACAATCACAAACAAATTGAAGCAGTAGCAGAATGGCAGTGGGATTTTTGCAGGAAAGGCTGGAAGGATAACCTAAAACCCCATTTAGTTGACTGGACTAAGGTCTGCTCCATGCAATAAGCCTAGGTATTCATTTGCAAAAGGCTAACTCTTGACTCTATGATAAGTGGCTATTGGAGGTAAAATGCTGAAAGCCAAATAAACAAAATATACAGATTTACAAAAGAGAGGTAGCAACCACCGTCTACCCCAACAGAACATGCATTAGGCTTTCCTTGGAACTTCTCCCAATACAAATCCCTCCTATGCACCTTTTGCCTAGCTAAGGCACCAACTGGACAACCATACAATTTGCACTCCTTGGAACCCAATGGAATGTAATCATCAGGGTAGATAGGAATAGAGAAACAACTTAAGTTCTAGGTAATAGCATCATTCTCTTATGGTAAAGATCAGCAAGAAACTCGACCGATGCAATGGCCAAGCAAGGAGTAAATAGTGATCAACTGTATACCGTGTTACACACCTAGCTGAAATGCAAACTGTACACCTTGAGGGGCAAGCTAGTAATTCCGCCCTAGTAGAGTACCCAACTCCTAGATGACCCGAGTAAAAGAAAACCACATTTCCAGCCTCGTTCCTCCTCCCATCCTAGAGGGGCCTAGATTACCTTGACTACTTCCATCAAAGTTCAACTTCAAGAAACCTTCAGGAGGGGGTGCCCAGCTTATACTTTAGCCTTTATAGAGGAGCAGCTTGCCACTATTGACCAATTCCTCCAAATATCATTAAAGGAGAATTGGTGGAACAAATCCAAGGATTTCAACCAGAGAATAACCCTGTTCAAAATGCAGTCCTTAGCTCTTGGTGGATTCTCTCCTTAAGTCCTTTTCTTCGAAATTTCTAGCATTCCTTTCTTCCCAAACTATCCACATAATTCTTCCTCTTCTTTGACGCCAAGCAAAGGTAAAAGGATCAAATAGGCTTACTTTTGTTAGCCTATTTCACCTGCACCCCAACATCAAAAAAATCCAATCCCATAACTCTACAGTAAAGGAATGGGATATTAGTACCTCACCATGAGACCTGCAAAGAATACACCAATTAGGTGAGATACAAAGGAAATGTCTTCTCTTTTGTAGATTATCCAAAATGTTTACTTTCCCATGGTACACTTCCCAACAGGAGGCCATAACCTGAGGGGGAATAAGCCCACACCAAACTTCCTTAATAGGGAAAAACTACTAGGAGGGATATTGGCATAGGGACTTGAAGAAAGAAGTCGGGCCGGGTTAGGTCGGGTTGAGACCAACCCTAAGTTCTAAACCCTCAACCCTAACCCTAACCCTAACCCAACCCAAAGTCAACTTCGGGTTGGGCTGGCTCAGGTTGGGCCCAACCCAACCTTCTTCCCATCCCTTAAAATCTCATAAAACTATTTAATCTCAAATCTTAACTCAATTTTCACTATATATATTAACCCTATGTTTTATTAGTATTTGTTTGTTGATGTTTTTATTGGTTCTTTTAGTACAAAATTCGGAAAAATAAGTGTTTGAAATGACCATAGTTTATTATGAGTTATGACTTATGATAGATCTTTTATGCACGACAAACATTAGAGAGGAGATGAAGAATAAAATATTCAAAAAAACATAAAATATGTTATTAAAGTTTTAGTCTTTTCATTTGGGATTAAGTGAAGTGATTATCTTAAAAGAAAGACATGATAGTATGTAGTGAGGGCTATACAACTATCATACATCTAAACAAATCAATGTATGATAATATATATATATATATATATAAAACATATATTCATATATGACATATACTATAGAGTCGGATTGTCCAAGGGGTCAACCCTAACCAGCCCGAAATGAAGTCGGATTCATAAATTTCAACCCTAACCCAAGCATCAACCTGGCCCAACTTTTTCGGGTTGTGCTCGAGCCAACCCAGCCCAAGTTGCAGCCTTAGTTTATATGGTCCAAAGGGGTCCAAACAGATAAAGAAACAGTAATTAGGGAGTGATTGGAGCTCAACAAGTTGGTGCCAAAAAAAAAGGGTCCAAACAGACTGTATCAAGAAGGCTCAACAAGTTGGTTAGACACTCAATCTCCTCATCCCTTAAACCTCTACAAAACCCAAAATCCCAATTTGGTGCCAAAGGAGTTTCCAAAGGGGAGAAAAATTTTTGAGACAAACTCTTTGTTTTTTTTGCCAAGAAACAAAGAAAAAGGAAGGGAAGAGGTCATTCAAAGGAGTATCTCCAACCCAAATATCCCCCCAAAAGAAGATTAAGTAGCCAGCACTCACATCATACCTAACAAAATTGAGAAACTGAGGAGGAATATTGTGAATTGCCTTCCAAAGTGTTGCCAAGGTTGCCTACGAGATATGCTAGCATCCCACCCATTCTCTGAGTATCTCCAACCCAAATATCCCCCCAAAAGGGGATTAAGTTGCCAACAGTCACATCATACCTAACAAAACTGAGAAACTAAGGAAGAATATTGTGAATTGCCTTCCAAGGTGTTGCCAAGGTTTCCTACGAGATATGCTAGCATCCCACCCATTCTCTGAGCTACCATGAATGCTTCCTACCCAAGGTTCAAAGTATCGACACAATACGCCCGATACATGGCTTATTGACACAGAGGTGTATCGATACTTTGAACTATGTTCCTACCATCTCATGCCACAACCTCTCTCTCTCTCTCCAAGGGCCACAACCACAACCACTTCCCCAACAAAGTTGTATTCTTTTGAATTAAATTCCCTAGGCCCAATCCCCCCTCTTTACTCTGGCATACCACTTCCCACTCAATCAAGTGGTTCTTTCTACTTTCCCCCAATTCCCAAAGAAAGCCTCTCATCAACTTCTCCAGTTTCTTGGCTACCCTAGGTGGGACCCTAAAGACAGATAGGAAGTAGATTGGTAGGTTAGCAAGTATCCCTAAGAGGGATACTTAACTATTGTACATCATTCTTTTATCAATATAATTTATGGTTACCAATTAAGAAAAAAAGGCCTTCCTCTTACGGTTGTTTCACTTGGAAAGGGAAAGAAAAGGTATATCCTTCATATGTTGAAATGATCAAGTGAAAAATAAGGGCAGGATATAGAGCCTATTTCTAGAAGGATCATTGGCGTGACACTAGGACCTTGACGGAGATTTTCTCCAAACTTGTTTGGTGTAGCTGAAGACAAAGACAACCTAGCAGCAGATTCATATGAGTTAACTGAGTATGGGCCTAAAAAAAAACTGAGTATGGGCCATTTGGACCCCTTAGTTGCACTAGTTTTGAAATGATTGGGGAAAAAAGATTAAATATTTTGCTCATCTGCTTAATATGATTCAGAACGGTATTCCAAGGAAACATGACCTGATACTCTGTCAGATCTTTCCTTAAGAAGCTAACAACTATATATCACCCCTCTTCACAACATAATTATGTGATCCACCAGTTCCTGCAAAAGTTTCCTTCATGGAATGAACAGCAGAAATGGGCAAGTGATTAACAACGGACAAATCATTGAGAAGAGGTATGGAGATTCACCCCCTGCCCCCAAAATATTGTATTTTACATTGATTAATTGGAGATGGAGGATATTCTTACATTGTCAATTTGGTTATCCTATATGGGTGTATTTCTTTCAACTATGTCACCAAAAGCAGTGCTGCCGAGATCTATAGAGAAGTATTTGTCAGGGAGAAAGATAAATGGTTTCAATAAAAAGGGATGGCATGGAGGATTTTTCTTCTGGATGTTATCTGGACAATATGGCTGAAGAGATTCAAGGGTGTCTAAAAACAAGGTCACAACTGTTGCTGATAAAAAAAAAAAGTCAGCTGTTGAGACTTCAGATTCTCAGTTGGATACCTGTAGCTTCTTATCATATCTGGTTTGCATGTAATGAAAAGTTACTTGACCAGAAAGTTGTCTATGTTCATTGGATAATTAACCAAGTCAATTTTGTGACTTCACGCTGTCCACATGATATCCCTCCAGCAAGTGTTACTCCGGGAACTTCCATACCTTATTCCATTCAGTTATCTACTGATATTTCTTATATATTATTTTCTGATGGAGGTATCATTTCTTCCCATCTAAGTTCCTGTGGTTATCTCTTTCTCACTCCCCATGCTTCTGTGATAGGTGCTTATGCAGAACGTTTTACATCTTAAGGCATGGTTGAAGAAGAGAAGTTAACGGGTATCTACAGGGGTTTATAGTGAGCTGATTGAGAAGGATGCGGAAATCTTCTCATTTGCACTGGCTCTTTGCTTATTTTGCATGCTCTACTATCAAAGGCCTCTGTATCTTGGACTTGTTTATATTTACTGTCTCTTGTTCTTTCTCTAGTAGCTAAAGTTGGGCCTTGTACCCTTTGAAATATTAACCATAGATACAATATCCCAGCTCACTCTCTAGCCCAATATGCTAAACATTCCAGGCAGCCTATGGAAGTTTTTGAGTCTGCTCCAGATTGGCTCCCTTGTATATCAGAATCAGACTATAAAAATCTTTTGGTGTTATAATATAGTATTTTTATTTAGAAAAAAAAAAATGTTGAGTCTTGAGAAGATAGTAAGTAAAGAAAAGAAAAGGCACTACACCACTCTTGATTATGGGTACATAAACATAACTGCTTTAGAGATGTGCCTAACTAATCATTCTTTTCTGTTGGCATATTTTTTATGCAAAGATGGAATAGTACAGTTCTTGTTTTGGGGTGTTCCATAGCTTCTCCCTATACATGGACTATACTTGTTAATGTTTTTCTAAAGAAAAGACTGATAAAAATGCGGCAGTAAAATATTAAAAATAACTGAAAAAGATTCCAAAAAGGATATTGGAATTCCATTATCTCTATTTTAGGTCAATGGCGTTGAAACAATCATTCTTCAGAGAAAATAAACTCCATATAAGCAGCACTCAAAAGAGGAAAATGAACTCTCTATATAAGCAGTAAAAACGAAGTGATTTCTTACCAGAAAGCTGCCATTTCGCTATTAGGTATCTGTTGATACAGACTTTCATAGAAAATCCTTAATGGGTCTCTCTGCAAACCCATAACGCAACAAACCCATCACTGAAAATTTCCCGGAAGGATGAATAAACAAAAATATAATTTTAGAAAATGAGAGAAATGAGGAGCACGATATTGAATAGATAGAGCACCGTACTTCCTCAGGTGTCTCACGCCTCTGACCAGGCAAATCAAAGACTTTCTTCTCCTTCTTCTTTCCGTTTTCTTGGGAAGCGGCCACTTTCTTCTCTACTTCTTCCTTCTTCTTTTTCTTCTTCTTTTTCTTATCCTTCAACCGCGAACGAATGCATAAGGAAAAAGACCAAATTATATACTAAGCGTAATCAAAGGGTAAATAGAACAGAAAAACAAAGAAACAAATTCGGGTGGAAATTTTGAGAGAAAACCTTGTCAGCCTTCTTCAAATTCTTTTTGATGGGGAGTCTATCGTCATCGTCTTCTTTGGGTTCTTCTTTCTTTACTTTCGTCGTCTTCACGCGAGCTTCCGTGCTGCCAGAGACGGGTTTCTTCTTCTTGTCTTTAACAAAAGAACTGAGACTCATCTCATCTTCGTCTTCCACCTCCTCCTTTTTCACAGGCTTCTCCCCTTCAGCAGGCATAGTGAGCGGGAAATATGAAACTTTAGGAGCCTAACAGGCAGTTCGAAAGATGAGAAAAAGGAGTGAAACTGTGATTTGAGAAACCCCAAGCGAGGTTTCTCGGCTTTCCCTAAAGAGTCTAGACGTCCGGACGAACGATTCTGCTCCTGTCTCCTGTGGCTGTATGTAGTTCAAAAAATAAAAGCTAGAGCGGCACGTTTCGGCTATTGTATTTTGTAGCGTATCCGATGATTCTTAAGAGTTAAGAAAGAAGAATCCCCGTTGATACTATTTGGACCTTTGATAACCGCTGAAATGGATGAATTGAATCGTTCAGTTCAGCCGTTATCAAACGGGTTGGTTGGCGGAGATCGGCTTCAGTCGGAGCAAAATCCGTTCGAACAGTCTTTATAGTCTTGCATAGAGAATACCTCCGTAGATATTCCCAATGCAAGGCTATGATGGCTGTTCGAATAGACTTTGCTCCAACTGAATCATGTTTTGGTTGGGCGTTGGCATTGAGAGATATTCCCAATGCAAGGCTATGATGACTGTTGTTCTAATGAACTTTGCTGACTGATCCTGTTTCGGTTGAGCATTGACATTGAGAGATACGGCAACTGAGCGAAGACTACCAGAACTCTATTGTTGGAGTTTGGATCTGCTCCTCACGTAATGCGCCTCATAAAGCGTATTCTGACCGTACATCGGGAACATCTCCGGTATTTGTATTTATTATTGATAGGAGATGTTCCTGTGGCTGTGAAGTCGGTATGAGGTGCTCTCTGAGTAACATATCCCAATTCGTTGGATGCATCAAGCATGTATGAACATGTCTTGTCAGCGGCACTAACGAACTACACTCAACATCTGTCGTGAGGGATTTCACGCTGACGCAGCGGCTTCTGGCGCTGCAAGGTGGACCTGCAGGAAAGCCACGAAGTTGGGGTTCGGCGAAAAATTCGCAAAAGCCACGAAAAGTTGACTTTCCGATAAAATTAGGGACCGTTTGGGAATTCACTGAATTGTGTTGATTGAGCTTTTATCGCTAAACACCTATAAACATGGCGGTGGTGGTGATTTAGTGAAGGAATAAATTGGATGAATGTGAGGAGGCTGAAGCTGTTATCCAGCTTTGCTGGGACACATGCAGATTAATCATGTAATTGTATTCTGGTATTTTCTGTTGTATGCTTGCTGCATTTTGAGGGCATTGCTGATGCACTTTTAATGGCCGCGGACGTGTTGTATGAAGTTGAATCTCTCTCTCTCTCTCTCCTTTTAATGGATTCAACTAAAGCATGTGCCCGTTAGGTCCTCTTTGTATTCAACTTCTTCTACCCAATTACGCTTAAAATTATGCTAAAAAAATATTACACTTAAAATAGCTTTTCAAAAATTCACTAGCATTCCATCCATTGTTATTATTGTTTAGGAGAACTTCACCAAAGCAAATTGCTTAAACTATGACATTTCTTCTCCAAAACCGATTGTCTTAAAAGACCGCTGCGGAATGCAATGTGCAAGTGCACCTCACTAAACCATCTTCTAAAAGAGAATTTGAACTCATCTCTCCAAGATTTTGTAAGAGGCCAACTTCAACCTATTAGCCCTACAAGAATTGGTATGAAACACATTATAAATTGGTTTCAACGACCGTGATTTACTGTCATCTACTGACTCTGCCTGAAAGCCAATGGGATCTGTGTTGGCTGATATTAGTTTTTCAATAAGAAAACGGACGGATTGCACTAACATGATTTTATTAATTTAATTTCAACCAGAAACAAGAGTACCAAGTTCAACAAAAATAAGCATTCGTTCTCAATGGGATGGGAAAACTGGGCTCTGATCAACACCCCACTCAAATAGAAACGCTCATAGTTTGGATACATTACATTGCTACCTTGAATAGTCTTTATTTGGCCTTTAATTGACCTTATCTGCACAGACTCCATCAAAAAGGATCAAGCAGCCACCTTCTTGAATGTGACAGAATTGATGATAGTAGCAAACTCAGGACCCTGCAGTAATGAAAATTCAAATGATGTGATGACATTATGACAATAACAAAATTAATACCCTCATTATATAATTCACATTTCCATATGCTAGTTCTTACGTGTTTGTGTGTGTATGTGTGGTAGTTCTTTCCATCTCTTGTATCAATCTATATGGTAATACAAAATTGAAACAAGAGATGGATAGACAAATTGTGGACCAAATCTTAATTGCAAATGAGAGTGGAAGATTATAAAAATAGAGGGGAGAAAGGGCTGGTGTGTAAGTTGGATCTAGAGAAGGCATATGATATGGTTGATTGGTCTCTATTGTTGGAAGTTTTAGTGCCCTTTGGATTTGGGCAGAGATGGTGTAAGTGGATAAAAGGGTGTATCAGGACTTGCCATTATTCTGTTTTAGTGAACAGCAATGTGGTGGATCATTTTCCAGCTGTTCAGGGTATTAGGCAAGGAGATCCTCTTTCCCCCTTCCTCTTTACCCTAATTGCTGAAGTGTTTGGGAGGTTTATTGAGAGGGCTGATTCAAGAAGTTTGATTAGTGGTTGGAGAGTTGAGAGGGATAGGATTGCGGTCACTCACCTACAATTAGCAGATGACACAATTCTGTTTTGTGGTGGAGATGAGATTAGATGGGTTAGCAACCTGAAGGTAGTGATTAAGGTGTTAGAACAAATGACCAACCTCAAAGTAAACATTGGCAAGAGCTGTGTGATTGGTATTAATATGAGTGCTGGAGAGGTGGAGGAAAGGGCCCAAGAGTTAGGTTGTGAGATAGCTCAATGGCCACTAAAATATCTAGGGCTTCCATTAGGGGATAATCCTAGAAAAATGAGCTTTTAGAATCCAGTGATTAATAGATTCACTAAAAGGTTAGCTTCTTGGAAGAAGAACTACCTGTCTTTGGGGGGAAGGATAACCTTGATTAAGTCAACATTGGCAAACCTTCCAATCTATTTCCTATCTGTGTTCAGAATTCCTTAAGGAATCTGTAGGGTGTTGGAAAAACTAATGAGGAACTTCTTATGGGAACCAGGGGAGGAGAAAAGGGACCATAGAGTTAGGTGGGATCTAGTTACAAGATCCAAAAGTGAAGAGGGACTGGGGTTGGGAAATCTGCAGAAGAAGAATGAAGCTCTTTTAGGAAAATGGTTATGAAGGTGGTCCAAAGAAAGGGAGAACCTATGGGCTAAAATAATCCTAAGTATTCATGGGCAAGAGACAATTGGTTGGGATTCGGGACTATCATCTAGGGCTTCAAGAGCTTCTCCGTTGAAGTCGATCCATGCCATCCTTCAATCATTTCTTCCCTTCATCAGGTATGATCTTAGCTCTGGCTTGTCTGTGAACTTTTGGRAACACACTTGGGTGGGAGATATTCCCTTGAAAGAGCAATTTCCCTCTTTGTTTGCTCTGTCAAAGTTTAAAAATGAACCAGTAGCAACATTTGCTACCTTGTCTACTTCTACTATTGGTTGGAATTTAGGTTTTAGAAGGGATCTTAGAGATTCTGAATTGGAACCCATTTCGAATTTGCTTAAGATCTTGGACGAGGTAGTTCTTGAACCCTCTAGTGTGGACTCTAGGATTTGGTCTCTTGTTCCTTCGGGTATCTTTTCTTGTTCCTCTTTTTTCAAAGCATTAACACAACCTAGTCCAATACCTGGGTCTCCTTTTCTAGTTCGGAAAGTTTGGGGTAGCCCAATTCCTCCTAGGGTAGGTGTTTTTTGCTGGGAAGCTATCCTAAAAAAGTGTAGCACTTGTGACCTACTTCAAAAGAAAAGGCCTAATGGTGTTTATCCCCGCACTGGTGCATCTTATGTAAGAAGAATGGTGAAAGCTGTTATCACTTGTTAGTTTCTTGCCCTTTTGTTTCAGATACCTGGTGTTGGTTTTTTTCTCTGTTTGGTTGCAGGTGGCCCTCCCCTTCAAGTGTGCAAAGCTTGTTTAATTCCACATCAGTGAGGGGTCTAAAAAAAATAGGTAAAATCTTGTGGAGATGTGTTAGAGCTGCTGTTTGTTGGACGGTCTGGGAGGAAAGAAATCAGATTATTTCATGAAAAAGAAAAAAGAAAGGAAGCCATCATAGAACTTATATATGTTAGGGTGGCCCATTGGGTCAAGTCTTTGAAGCTCTTTGAAGCCTATTCAGTAGGAGACATTATAAGAAATTGGGAAGAAGTGGCTTGGTCAGCCCCCATGTCTATTGCTCTTAGACCAGTTTGGACTCCACCAGATTCGGGTTTCATCAAATTGAACTTTGATGGTAGCAGCGAAGGAAATCCAGGCCCTTCAGGCATACGTGGTATTTTCAGGGACGAAGAAGGTCGAATTATTGCTATGTTCTCAGGACCTATAGGTTGGAGGGATTCACTGAGAGCTGAAATCCTGGCAGCTCTAGAAGGAATTAAAAGAGCTAAGCAATTGAATATTAGCAATTTGCTGGTGGAAGGTGACTCTCGGCTGACTGTTAGATGGTTGCAGAAGGAAGAATCCAGCCTGTGGAAGTTCTCAAATGAAAGAAAGAAAATTAATCAGCTAACTCAGAACATGCTTATAAGGGTTCAATGGGCCAAGAGGAGTGCTAACTCTATGGCAAACACTTTGGCTAAACAGGGGGTGGGAAGAACAAATTTCTTTTGGGCTATCTTGTAATATGTTTTTTCAGTTTTGACAGGGAGGGTTAAGACTTTTTACCCCTCCATTCTGGTTGTAATTTCCATCTCTTTTCTAATAAAATTACTGTTATTGATAAAAAAAAAAAGAGAGATGGATAGAATTTCCTGGACATTTATTCCTTGGCATCCAGATGAATGAGATGGAGAGATGATTCAAATCATCCCACTTGACTGGTTTCTGGTCAAGAAAGTCTGCCAAATGGAGCCCATATGCAAAACCATCCACAAAGCATCCCCTCTTCCTTGTTTTCATGTATGTTGAAGGTACAAACATCAAGGTAAGTCATGCCTGCTGTGATACCTTCATCTTATATTCATTCCAAAATAATAATAATAAGCTCACCTTATTGCATCATCAATAAGCATTTCAAAGTACTTTCTGTCACAAATTAGAGGAGTACCTTTAGGGAAGCACCACCAACAAGAAATCCATCAATATCTTCTTGTTTTGCAAGCTCTGCACAGTTGCTCCCATTTACAGATCCTGCAAATGGAGTCAAGTTCATGATGAAATCAAGAATTTAGAGAGCCATCCAAAATTAGAACCAGAGCATTCAGGCAAGCACAAAAAAAAAATTATTTAATAGGTATTGATAAGCATCAGACAGCAATAAAAAAACCAAGAAGTTAAAATTATTGAACAAAGAATATCACTTGCAATTTTGGGAACCATAATATTGTTATCAAGGCCGTGATTCCGAGTTTCATTGAAAAGCCTATGAAAGGCAACAAGAGTTGAGTAACATTTAATACCACGACTGTCAATCATCTAGACTTAAGTTATGATATCACATCAATAGTTAAGAGGTATATGAGAGTATACAAACAGTAATTGAAATGAGAAACACACAAACACACACAAAGGGAACATACTGATATCTGCCAAATAATCAAATAGGACTCTCCAAAGCYTGTACATAACAGTACATGCTTATTGTATATGTGTACCACTACTAGTGCAGGGGCATTTTATCTTTAATGGCATGGAAACTTTTAAATATGTACACAGTATATATTCAAAGAGGTAAGGTATAATTATATAGATAAAGAAAGAAAGAATGTACAAGGTAAAAGCTCCCTACCCAGAAGGACCACACTCCAAACTACATCAATAGTTGACTCAAACCTCCCCAAAGCACAACTAAGCAAAGACCACTACAAAACAACTTAGAAACCGACAAACATGTACACGGTCTAAATTTGACAAAATATTGAGAAATAATACTTTATGCTTTGCTTCACATCCTAAACAACTAAGTAACAACCTGAGATAAAACAAAGGTATAAAAGTGCTTTTAGAAAAGCCTGGTGACACCTGGCACTACAAGGATGAGAGAAAATGATTATCTATATGATCCGATGTCTTAAAAGCAAGAAAGTGTAACTAAAGTGGAAAGGGTTCCTATAGCCTAAGGTACAAGGCCCAAATGAGGTGCATGCCTGAACAAAGTTAGGCTACCACTTTTGAAAAAGAAAAGAAAGGAAAAGTCAACAGAAAAAAAAAATATGCAAATCTAAATTCTGAAAGAAATAAAATATTTCAAAAAGTTTATTACCTTAATTGGTTAGAATATTGTGTCATTAGCAAATACAGCAAGAAGCCGGATAAACAACCTAAGTTCAGGCAAGGAACGCCCCATAAAATGGGCTTTGGACCTCTTAAAACATTAAGGTGACCCCGCGTATAGTATCGGTAATTATATATAACATTAATAATATAAGTAATAAACATATATTGGATATAGAAAGTTAACACACTTAATGATACACAATTTAAGTAATAAATATATGTGGGATTTAGAAACTTACTTTTTCAATATCTAGATATATGTATACACACACACAAATGCACATATACCCATACACACACACACACCCCTAGTTAGGGATGCAACTTGGGCCAGGTTAGCCTGAAGCCAACCCAAAACAGTCGGATTGGGTTGGGCTGGGTTGAAGTTTGAGTCAGGGTTAGGGTTGAAAAATGTGGACCTGACTTATTTGTATGTATAGATATTATATAAATATGTATTATGCATGTATGGTTGCATCCATGAATACATGCATATATAATATATATATATTATATATATATATCAACAATTTTAAGTTTCAAGGCAAAAACTTTCAAGTGCAATATAAAGTATGGTACTCCTAAAGCACCACAGCCCTTGTACATATAATAATCCTAAAATTGAAGAACCTTCATATGCTAATCTCAAGTCTAACAAATAAGGGTATTTTAGGAAGATAAAGTTTAGAAAAAAGGCCAACCTGTCAGGTTGGGTAGGGTTGAGGGCTCAACAACTGGGGTTGGGTTAGAGTTGGCATCAACCCAACCTAACCCAGCCCGACTTGCACCCCTACGCCTAGTCTCTTGTCTGGATGCATTTGACTAGCTCTATGGCCTAGGTTACATAACAATGTAGTTATCACACTACCTTTGAAGCAATAAATTTCCTAAAATTCCCTCCAATGCATGCAAGAATGAAAAGAATAGAGCATCCAATGATTATATTGCATCTCTTTTTTACATTGCATGAAAAGGAACATGAAATATCTCCAACCAATTAACCATTCTCCTACTGCACATATCAAAGGAGAGAAGATTATACCATATTGGTCACAGATTGACAAAAAATCACAGAAGAGGTACCAAACCATCATTGAAGGATCAAAAAACAATGAAATTATGATCCTCAGTGCTTCACTCGCCACACTGCTAAAATAATGTATTAAAGTCCAATATTGACATTGATGTAAGGGTTAACACGTGTCTTTGTTCTAACCAAAAGAAAAGAGAATTTACTGAATTTTTCTTCCACGAGTAATGACAAGTATTTCAAATTTTTCAAGAGAAGAGTGACTGAATTTGTTAAAAGCAAGAGGAGTACATGAGATAAGTAAAGACATGTATTTCAAAATTTTGACACCAGCTTTATTTAACAATGAGCACTACCTTGATACAATGATTTGAAAGGTGTACAAGGATTATGCCTTGAGGTTCACTTTGAAGTGAGGCTTAATCAAAATGCCTGATACTCAACCTGGAAGCTCATACCAAAAAGCATAATACACATGCAAGATGGGAGAACTACTTGAATAAACAGCATGCATTGGAGGGCCACAAATGATTACTTTTGGAAGAGGTCACAAATGACATAATAACACTTGAAAGCTCATAAAAAGGTTAAAAGACATTTACATTATTAAATAAGAAAAGATTTCCAGTCAATGATGCCTTCTCTTTAAAACCCAACAACATTACTCCAGACGGAATAATAGCAAATATTATATCTTATTAGCAATGAAAAGGGTGACCAGTCAAATTATGACTTCTCTTTAGAAAGTGCAACATATAGATTCTGGCTTTCTTTACATGTTTTACACTTTTCTTATGATTTTGAAAACCCAAAAAAAATCCAGAATCATGTGTCTGCTGTTGCAAAAAAAAAAAAAAAGTTCCATCAATTATCAGATATTTGACAGTTTCACATACCAGACTTGCAATATACCAATAATGCTGTACATAAAACCTCACCAATTTTATGGTATCCATAAATCAAAATGAACAAAGTTGCAGTTGGAAATGGAATACCTCCATAAATAATGCGTGTTTTGGAAGCAACTTCTTCTGAGACATTCTTTTTTAGCCAGTCACGAACAGCTACATGTACTTCTTGGGCCTGCTGGGGGGTGGCTACTTTACCGGTGCCAATGGCCCATACAGGCTCATATGCAATAACTACATCCTCCCAACTAGGCACATTCTCTGCATCTCATGAACATACCTGGATTTAAAAATAAAATAAAAAGTGTGCAACTGCAGGAAAGATATACTGCAAAGACTTGCCTGCAAATGCCTTCATCTGTTGGAAACAGACATCAAAAGTTTTCCCAGCTTCCCGTTCTTCTAGTTTTTCACCAATGCATGCTATAACCTTAAGATTTTGGCTTAGAGAATATGCAGCTTTCTTTCCTATAAACTGGTGGCAGGATGTTAGTCAAGTTCAAATTTTATATTGTCATTCAGAAAATTGATTTGAAAATGTAGATTCACTTACAGAGCAAGAACTATTTAGTGTTTAATGAAAAGATTCCAAGAGGGTGTTGGGAACCCATACCTGATCATCCTCACCGATGATATGTCTCCGCTCAGAATGCCCAAGAATTACCCAATTGCAGCCTATATCCTTCAATTGTTCCACACTGTAAATGAAAAATAATTATAAGTTTCCAATTTCATTAAATTTATTTGTCAGCTCTTTATAAGTTGATGCTTAAAGAACATCATCTAATTTTTCTGTTCATAGGGTACATTGATCATTAAAGGATAACAACATAATCCCAAGGAAAATAGCCAAAACAATAACAAAAACAAAGAACATAATCAAAAGATTGGATAAATTTCCTTTTTTATTTCTTGTTGTGAGAGTGGGATGTCCTATGTAGATTGCTGCTTTGCACAAAATGATAGAAAGAAGCCATAACTTCTAAATGGTTTTCAAAAAAAAATGTTCCATCCATTTCCATGAACTACAATCTCCAGGAAGAAAAGAAAAGAGGAGAGGGAGCAACATCCCAATTTCTTCTGCCTCATAGCAGCAACCAGATTTTGGCATTTAAAAGTCCCGATATAGTCTTCATGCAACTTTGTATTTTCACAACAAGGATCCACACATTTACAGAAATAGTTTCCAACAAGCCAAATCAGAACTTTGATTGGTTACAGAAAAGATAGAAATGCTGACATGTTAAACTGCTAGGTGATAGCTTAAATTGTTCAGAGCTAAAACAGAGAAAAACTAGAAATTCTGAACCACTTATACATATTCAACCAGGAGAAGAAGACAACCTGATTTCCCCTGTAAAAGCTCCACCTTTTCCAACCCAAGAATTTTGAGCAGATATCTCAATCCGATCTGTTAAAGAGTTCTTTACCTGGTCAATGTATATGAAGGGAGGTGCTACAACAACATCTGCATCATCCGGAGAAAGAAAAGAGAAAAAATGAGTAAGAAAATATACAAGATTTGTCACCTTTTAAGTAGAAAATATAAAATAATTATTATCTCAACTATTATTTCAGAATAAAGGCTCAATTAAGAGCCAAATTTTGATGCAACAAATTAAAAGGCCAACAAGCTTAACACTTAAGGAATGCTTTCAAAATACTCTTATAAGTCAAAGATATTTTTTCCTTTCTAAGCATCAAAGGTATAATATTTCCAATGCATAGAGGAAAAGAGAAGACATAAGAATTTTGCTGGATCTAAAAAAACAATTCAAAAAAGGTAAAAGTAATTTAGCAGAATATAATTATCTCACCAACATCAGCCTCCAATTCAGCACCATTTAAGTCAGAAACAAGTTTGCTGATAGATTCCTTTGTTCCATTCTAAAAATAAAAAAAAAAAACAGAAATGGTAAGTCAACTACAAAAAGTAAGACCAGTTTAACAAAAACATAGCAGAACTTGGCAAATGCAATGTTAATTCTGTCCTGGGTTAGGAGATCTGCCAACAGTTTGGCAGATAGCTTAGCAAAGCAAGGGGTTCAAAAAACACACATGTTTTTGGGCACATTTGTAATTCTGTCCTGGGTCAGCTTTCTAAGCTGACTTCTTTCACAACTTCTTGTTGTATCCTAAAGTTTTCTAATTAATGAAATTCTTTCAAAGTTATTGATCAAAAAAAATATTATTGGGGGGTCACAAGAAAGTGTTGTCACCATGTGAACCAATCAAAACCAAATCACCAAGCCATGCACTCACAAGGTGATTTTGTTTTAAATTTGATTATTAGCATGGTCATGACTTATTGAAGGGTCACAAGAAAGTGTTATGTTCACATGAGCTCATCAGAATTAAATCACTCAAGCATGCACTCACTAGGTGAGTTGGTTTTTCTTTTGACCAATAACAGATTAGTGTTTTACCAGAGAGTCACAAGAAAGTATTGTGACCATGTGAATACATCACAACACATATTAGACTACCTAGGCAATTCTTGATTGTCATAGTAAAGTAGTAAACCTTAGAGGTAGTTTCTATTTTTTCATATGTCAGTGGCTTGTTTTTGTATCATAGGGTAGGAAAAAGGCATGCACTCACTAGGTAATATGATTTTTCATTTGAGTGTTAACATTTTTGTGTTTCATTGTAGGGTTGCAAGAAAGTGTTGTGACAATGTGAACTCAATGAAACAAAATCACCCAGGCATGCATTCACTGGGTGATTTGGTTGATAGCATGTTTGTGTTTTATTGGAGAGTTGCATAAAAAGTGTCATGGTCATTTGAACTAATTGTTGAACATGTTAGGCAATATTAACATTTCTAAATTGTCACAAAAAAGTACTAGAGGCAAACTCTATTTTTGTCATATGCTAACAAGTCATTAGTGCGCCATTTGGGGTAGCAACAACAAGATGCACTCACCAGATAATTTGGTTTTTGTTTGATTAATAGCACATCTATATTTATTAGGGGATCACAAGCAAGTGTCGTGACCGTGCGAACACATCAAAACCAAATCACCCAAGCAAGCACTCATTGGATGATTTGGTTTTTCATTTGATTGATAGCATGCCATGTTTTATTAGAAGGTCAAAACAAAGTTTTGTGTGCATGCAAACTCATTGTTTCACATGTTAGACTACATTTGTATTCCTTGGTTGTCAAAGCAAGGCAATGGACCCTAAAGGCATGGTTTTCAAGGCATCAAGGTGAGGCTAGGTGATGTTTTTTTTTTCTTGAGTAAAACCCATCTTCCACTATTAATTATCTCCTAGTTGCCTAGGCAATGGATTTTTTTATTAAAAACCATGAATCCTAGGGTGTTTCCTTAGGTTCCATAGCAAGCAGAACCATCTTTCGCTATTAATTGTCTATAATCTTCATAAAAAAGTACATTTGTCACAATTGAAGTTTGGAAGTTTAAATCCAATCTCATGGATCTTCTGCGCTAAGCGCTATTTTGATTACAACAAAGTCCTTGGACCATATAGAAGGAAAATGGAGTTCGTGCAGGCAGGTCAGTGGAGGAAATCCTTGAAGATAGAAGCAAAAAATCTCTTGTTCGAAGAGATGAGAATCAAGGGGAAGGTAAGCCTGAAGGTAAGGGAAGCGAAAAAGGGTACAATATTGCTGGAAGGATTAGAAGTAATCGAGTGGCTAAGAGAGTTCATAGCTGGAGCCTGTTCAAAAGGTAA